AGAAGGCACGCTGGTTGGCACATCCAAAAACCCTGCTGAATCTTTCAGGGATAGAGCAATTGCCTGCATAGGAAGATAATGATAAAGCATTTGATCATAAAAGCTAACACGCAAAATTTGTCTGATACATATGTAAATTGTAATCTACTCAGCCATCAATCAAATATTATTGCTGAATAATAAACCTGCATCAGGGCAGCATCATCATCCAGAATATCCGAGTTGGGTACTTGCTTCTTAGGAGTTGAAGTTTTTTTCTTCGCCTAGAATAAGATATTCAAGTAAAATGATCAGAATCCTACACCTAACAATCCATCTCATCCCATCAATGATGCCCACATTGAAAATCAGACTGGTACTGGTAACATATATAAGTAGTCGTTGCTAAAAGAAGCCATGACAAACACCAAACTGGAGGCAGTAAATTCTTGGGCATTTTCAATTGTTGAGATTGCATATTGTTAACATATTCTGACTCAATATAATAACAGTTTTACCCTGTGAAACGTTGTTTATATATTTGCATCAAAATAACTATTAGATTAGTAACATTTGTGTAGTCACTTGTCCCCATGTGCAACAAGCATCTAGAAATACAGCATGCAAAAGGCATTTTTTCTACAGATGATAGCACGTTCATGAGAAGGCACAACATAATGTCCTCATCTGCAACCCTTTGATACATAATGGCCATCAAATAATGCATTTTGAAGAAGATTCTGCATTTTCTATTATCTACATTGTTAGAAATTTTCTATAACAGGCATATCGCTTTGTAAAGTCTACACTTAAAAGAAAGAGAATTTACAAATTCCCTTTAGTGACAAAAAAATTTGTTTGCTAATAGTTTGACATAAATTATAGAGTAACTTGGACGGTTCTGTTATTTCCTCCTTTCATATGTAATACAACAGATTCAGTTAAATAAAAATCAATTATCATTTTGTCTCCCAGTTTTCTTTCCCAGCTAAATGCAGCCCTAGCAACCAACTCTCTACTTAAACTTACCAATGTCACATTCATTAACGGTATGGAAACCTAATAAATCCCATCCTGCAGTTTTGACTCGCCTAGTCAAGTGAAATCATCCTAACAGCAACAAAGATAAATAAAATATAATAAAATTAACATTAGCAAAATGTAAATTGCGAGTATGAACATATTTATGGTCATGGATGTAAAGAGAGCCCAAAATTTCGTGAAATCCTCTTTGTAGCATCTTAGATTTTCTAAAGTTTTCACAGAACGCAAAAAAATTTCTAGAGAAAAAACAAGGCCGATCGCTTTGCACTTCATACAGTAGATAATATTTATAATTTATCTTCAAAAACCAGGTAATGTAACTCACATTTGCAGCAATCTAACTTCTACAGATGCAACATTTATACAATTGAAATAATAAGATAAAACAAGATCCATATACATACCATTAAATAACCACAGTATTATAATTTCAACCAAGTTGCTTTAGTGCCTCAATCTTGACATAAAAAATGCTCAAAATACGTTTATGTAAGTGTATGAGATAAAAAGATAAAAGACAAAAGGAGATTACTTTTCCCTTTTGAGACCCAGAAAACTTGTCATCATCACTCCCATCCTCTTCACTTGAAGAACACGTTTCCTCTTCAATCTCGCTTGGCTTATATTCTTCATCTTCATCGACCATTTTGCGTTTGCCCTTTCTCTCACACTTCTTTTTATGGTCTTTCTGGACAGAACCAATAAAAGAATTTGCAATTCTATGCAAACCCAAGGCCTCCATTCTCTTCTTGTTCTCCTCAATCCTCTTCAATCTCTGCAACTCATAATCGGATGTTTTTTCTTCGCTTCTTGGGGTTTCTTTTTCAGATTCTTCACCTGACGAGTCATTTTCTTGGGACTCTGAGTCTGAGAATTCAGATTTGAGCATTTTTCTTGGCCCTGTACTTGATTTCTTCACAAAATTGTGGATTTGGAGAAGACGGGGTTTTAGGAGTTTGGTGGATACTGTAACGCGGGAATTTTGTAGGGCAGTAGTGGCAATTTTGTCCTTCTATTATGGGAAAATTGCAGCCAAAGTACCAAACATTTCGTTTATTAACAGACTTTGCCCAAACCTTTCATTTGTACCACCGTGAGTACCAACCTTTTAAAAATGTACGGCTCAAGTCTAAATTGACCATTTCTGTTAGTTTGACCCTAAAAATCGTCAGTTGACCCCAGAAATTAAAATTTTAATAATTTGACCACATAAGGCAGGGACATTTTGGATAAAACACATTTTTCCTATTAAATCAAAAATTAAAAATAAAACCACGAACCATCCCCATCTCCTTCTTCCCCAAATCAAAACCAACCCCACCACCATATTCAGTTATTTCACCGTTCGACAGCCTTACTACCCACCAACATCACCACCTCGATCGCCACTTTTTTAGTCTTTCTTCTCTCCTTCACCAACCCCAACCCACCCCACCCCATCGCGACCGCCATTGGCCCACTGTTGCCCAATGCTATTAGCTCGCAGCGTCGGCACCTCCCAAAACCAACTGCAACGACCTCCATGAAAATGAGCTTGAATTTGTACCGTTAGTTAGTGATAAAAATGATGAAGGAGAAGCAATAGAGGGAAAATGTGAGCTTGAATTTGAGACTACCATCATTTGCAAATTTCGAAATTGGGGAAGAAGGGGCCAAGTTAGCGACTTCAAAATCAAATTTTGCTTGCATTTTTAGCGCGTTTTTCAGTGTGAAAATTTGCTTTTGAAATTTAGATTCCCTCAATTTCAACACCAAGGAAAAGAACTTGAGTCTGTGAGAGATTGGGATTTCTCAAATGTTTATTTTGTGGTGGCTGTGATTGTGGCAGTCGACAGCGATTTCAATAGTAGGTGGGTTAATTTGGTTGGGTTTTGAGGGAAGGGAGGATTGAGAAATGGGTGGTGGTGATGTTGGTGGGTAGTGGTGGCTTTCAGCGGTGAATGTGGTGGTTGATTTGGGGGATGAAGGAGATGGGGATGGGTTATGGTTTTATTTTTTATTTTTTGTTTTTGTTTTTAATTTTTGATTTAATAAAAAAATGTGTTTTATTCAAAATGCCCATGTCTTATGTGATCAAATTATTAAATTTTTAATTTATGGGGTCAACTAACGATTTTTGGGGTCAAACTAACGGAAACCGTTAATTTAGACTTGAGCTGCACATTTTTAAAAGATTTGATACTCACGGTGGCACAAATGAAAGGTTTGGACAAAATATGCTAATAAACGAAATGTTTGATACCTTGGCTACAATTTTCCCTTCTATATTATCTTTCATTCTTGTATTTGTTTTTATTTTGTGTAGTTATTATGTTATATTGGACCACGCCTATTAATACTTC